CCCCCTCAAATCAAGCGCCTCCCACCGGAGCTGCCCAGGACCACCCTCCCTGTGCGGGAAAGCCTCAGAGCCTCTCCCTTATCCTGTCCTCTCCTCCCGCACCATTGCTTATTTTCACAAGGGCTTCAGTCCTTCAGCGTGCGACTGTTATCCTCCCCTTCCACACGGGGCCTTGACACTCCTCGAATGAATGAATGACGAATGAATGAATGCACTTATAAAATATCCCCTCCCACCCCCCCCCCGATGTGGGGGTGGGGGTTCTTTCTCTGAGATGGTCACAGAAGCAGTCTGGTGATGCTAACAGCAGAGAAATGCTTAAGACCAGAGAGCTGGCTACTGCATTCTCCTGCCTACGACAGCCTTGGTTAAAAGCCGGCCCCTGGCACCCCCCTGGGGGCAAGGGGCTTGTCCTCCTGCCTCAGAATCTGGGGTGAGGACGGCACCCCCACCAGCAAGAACCAGCTCTAGACAGCCTGGCAAGCGGACGGCTCAGCAGACAGAACGGACTTTCAGGAGCACAGACGCTGAACTGCCCAGGGCCACGGCAGCCCCCAGCACAGGTGCGCAAGACAAGGGGTGCCCAAGAGCCAGGCAGCTCACGTGCCCGGCTGGAGCGCCGTCCGCAGCGCTGAAACCCTGCACTTCTCCCAGGTAACTGCACCCCTGCCAAGCACGCAGAGCTTCCAAACGGATTCCCCTCCAAAACCACCAAGCAGGGGGGCTCACCTCTGCTCAGCTCCCCTGGCCACTGTCCCCAGAGGCAAAGGGAGGAGGCGCCAGCCTCTGAGGGCGATCCAGGGTTGGGGTGGGAGCCCTGATGCATTTGCCGAGGGAAAGTTGGCCCAGAGAGAAGCCTGGTCCACTTGCCCTGGTTACTGATTAGCCAAACCCCAGAGCGGCTCTCTCCGACCAGGTATCAGAGGGGCAGTTAGCGCAACGGGAAGGAAAGCCACATTCAAATCTCTAACCCTGCAGTTTAGACAGCCCAGCCTGAGGGCTCTCCAAGGCCTCCCTTCAGATCCTGTCGGGGAAGTGCAGGGGATGGGGCCGGGCAGAGGGAGAGGGGAGGCCCTCACCCTTCACACTGCCCCTACCCACTGCCCACCGATCGCGCCCCCCAGGAAGGGGAGAGTTGCGTTCCCCCCGCCCGCCCCCAGCGTGCGTTATCCGGAGGGGAACCCGGGCGCGTTAGGGGTTCTGCCCAAGGTCACAAAGAAGCTGCAGACGAAAAGCTTCTATGGGAGCAACAGGTACGGCCCCTTCCCTTCCCCCGAGGTAATGGCTGCTGCCCGCGGCAAAAGTTCAGCCTGGCAGGCAGGAAGCCCCGGGCACCCAGGTGGCGCGCCGAGGTCGCGCGCCCCGCTCCGGGTTTCAGGGCGCGGTGCCCCGGCCCCCCGGCGAGGGTGAGCCAGGAGGGTGCGGGGAGCCCCGGCTCGGGCGCAGGGCGACGCGCCTCTTCCCTCCCCGTGGGCCCCACCCGCGACCACTGTCGTCGATGACTCTAGGATTCTGGATTGTATAGACCAGGCGGGATAAATTTTTGAGTTTGGACTGTTTTCCTTCTCGTATCTCTCTTAGACTCCAGTACTGATCT